TAATCTAATGTAGATGTCTTTTATCGTTTTGCTACTGTTCTACTTCACAAGTAACGTTCATCGTCAAGCGATTCACTTAGCTCTAGACTGATAGAATACATGTACGGATGTAATAGCATAAAAAGCTACATTAAAAAAGTAATACGCAAAATTGATAATATAACCAGTATATCTTAGGCGAGCAGAAAACTTAATTTGGAGAATTTTCACTCTAATGGATGCATTTCCAATCAGCTGCAAAATAAGCATAAGATACATCCACTTTTTCTTCGATATATTCTTCCGTGAAAGTTTCGCCAGAAATTATACAAAACTTCATGTCAAGTTTAAGCTTCCAGCAAAGATACTTTTTCATAAACTTGTAACAAGTTTCAAGCATATCAGTAAGTTGATCAAAAGGGATAATCAAATAGCTTTTCGAAAAAGTTACTGACTTAATAAAATTTTACTCATAATTTTTATCCTCTGAGATTACATTACATACTTAAGATCATCTCCAGCTGTTGTAATCGTTCCTCTCGGGTATCGAAGAAGAAACTACGTTTATGCGGCGATTTGTTTGCATTCATATCGCTGTTCATTTTTCAAATAATAAATATTAGTGTATTTTTATAATTTTTATTTATGTATTGGCGCTGTTTGCACAAAAAAAAAGAATTTTATTTCGTTTATTTATATATCACATTATTAACAAGAATAAATTTTTATTATCGTATGATCATTTGTACTATAATTACCAAGTCGATTTTTTGATCATGGTGTTACTATCATCACTATTACCACGATCACTATGACGATTTTGACCATAGTTATTATTTTTAGCCATTTGTACCATTGTTACTATGGGCAATTGTACCACAGTTACTGTGGGCATTTGCACCAAATGGTCATTTGTATCATAGTTACAACGGCCATTTTGACCATAATTAGTATTTGGTCATTTGTACCATGGTTGCTATATGGTCACCTATGCCATAGTTCCGTGGTCGTTTGTACCAAAAAAATGACCGTTTGTGCCATAGTTACATGCTCATTTGTACCATAGTTACCTAGTTAATTTTAGTAAAAAAATGGCCGTCTGTGCCAAAAAAATGGTCACATGTGCCAAAAAAATGGCCATTTTGACCGCGTTACCGACAGACAGACAGACAGACAGACAGACACAGGTGAATTTCGGTTTCTAGACCCTAGCCTTTCAGTCTAGGGAATGATATTTTTCTTTTGAATTGAGAGTGTTTGTTAACTAAAAGTTACGAAGTGTCAAATATAAATTCTACATGAGAAAAGGATACAATAGATTCTTTGAAGTTCTCATAATTTGCTTCGGCTCTCACTTCACCTCTGAAATTTATTTGATTGACTCCAATTCCTACTCCGGTGAACTATGATTCTGAGTTTAGTATCTGCATTCAATTCAGCTATCGAGTAAGCCTCTGAATGTGCATATAACCTATGAGAGTGAACGCCAGTGTTGATCTTCGCTTCAGTAACATCAAACCACACACATACTAACATTCACCTTCACAATCCACATAGGCAATCAGACCAGATACACCGACCCACACTCTCGTTTATTCGATGGATCATTGCCAGAGATAAAAAGGCAATATCAACAAGATTGACTCTCAACATCTGTTGAGAATTTGAATCAATATTGAATTTTTGTATTCGATGACTTCCCCAATCGACGACATAGAGATTCCCGTGTCGATCGAATGACAAACCGATGGGCCAATTGAGTTGGTTCGATTGTTCTCCACTACCGTTTCCACCAACAATGACACTTCCTTGTGTGGCTCCTTTAGGCCAACGCATGATTCGATTATTCCCAAAATCAGCCACATAGACAGTGCCCAATTGATCGACAACGACTCCTCGAGGAGATGACAATTGTGTAAGATCATTTCCTTCGCCTTGACAACCAGCCACGACAATGCCTTGTTTTGCACCTTCCATCCATTTCATCACACGATCATTTCCACAATCAGATACGTACACTGAATGATCTCGATCGACGAATACGTATGAGGGGCAAGAGAGTTGATCGAGACGATTTCCACTTCCATTGCCACCTGCAACCACTGTTCCTTGAGATTCTCCTCTTCGATATCGTCTCACTTCATCTTTTCCAACATCAGTGACATAGAGAGATCCATTCTCGTCCATTGTCAAACCCATACAATAGATGTTGGAGATGATTGTTTCTCCACTTGTCCCATTTCGACGAGGCCATCGAACCACTCTTCCATTCGAACGATCGCATATGATGAGACTATCTCTCTCTTTGTCGATAATCACATCTGTTGGGTTATCCAATTGATGATCTCCACTTCCTTGTCCATTTCCACCGGCAACCACTT